GGACTGTATCGGGCATTCCTCCTTCTTCTGGTACCTTTAGGCCCTATTGAAAAGTAGTCTTGGCCAGGGTCCTTCAAGGAAGAGAGAGAAGTAAGGCTTTGCTTAAGGAAGAGAGTGAGAACTTGTTACTTTGTCACATGGTGACAGCAGTCTAGTGTCACAGCTCCAAGATCTCACTGAAGAGCTGTCCCAGCCAGAGATCTTCTGTGGCCACTGCTCATCTGACTGCTATAAGCAAAAGAGTGAGGAGAGCTCAAGGGAAGCAAAGAGAGAGTTCTCCATCAGGGCACCAAAACTGTTCTGAGAATGAGAAACCCGAGGCATGGTGGTAAAAATATTTACCACACCATGATTGATATTGAAGTTTTAAAAGAGAATATACAGAGCTGGTGAGATGACTCGGTGGGTACCACATGTGCCATACAGATGTCAGGGCCCGAGTTTCCATTCCCCAGAAGCTATGTAAGGCCAGATATGGTAAGGAAGAACAAATTTGTGATCCCAGCCATCCCACAGTGAGATGGAGTAGAGACAGAAGAATCCCCGGAATCTCACAAGCCAGCCTGCCAGGTATAGGCAGCACCAAACAAGAGACCCTCTCTCAAGGAAAGTGGAAGGTGAGGACCAACATTCAACTTCACCCTCTGACATCTACATGAGTAGTGAGTGGCTCGTGTAGGCCTACCTTGATACACTTGAGCACATACATCCCAAGATTCTAAAGATGTCCATAGTGGGAGAGACAATGTTAGACCCCCAGAAAACTCAGGTATCCAGGGTCCCAGGCCACGACTGCGGTCACCCCAATCACCAGGCACATTCGAGAGCTTGCTGCAAACTGCACAAGGCTTTATTGTAATTTAACGAGCTAACCCCATGTTAGCTCGGGTCTTTCACCCACCCACCATGGCGGATGGCTCGCAAAAGACAGCTCCTAGGGCCTCCCGCGAGATCTTATAGGACAGCATAAGGGGAGTGTCTAGGGGTATGCACAGGCTCACGATTGGTGTGCCTCTAGGCTTGCAGTGCTTGTCCTGTGTTGATTGGCCAACTGGTTGTTATGTTCCATAGGCCCTCCCAGGGTGGTTGCTATGCTTTGTGCGCCATTGCTGTGCGCTTATCCGTAAAGCACGCCCAGGGTCGTAAAGCACAGCGCCACCAGCTAACTTCTGATTGGTTCCTTGTCACGAGGCAGGGATCTGACTTTCTAGTGACTAAGACTAGGTCATAGAAGCACGTGTTCGGCTGTTATGGCTGCCAAAAGGAAAGCCAGTCCCTTCAACAAAACCAGAGGTGCATTCTCAAAGAGGAAGAGAGAGACCCTCCTCCTGTGAGGGAGTAGAGGGAATTTAGCAATTAGGAGAACATGGTGTTTTAATTACTGTTCTATTGCTGTAATGAAACATCATGACTGAGGTGGTTTCAATAAGAATGGTCCCATAGGCTCATATATTTGAATGCTTAGTCACCAGGGAGTGGAACTGTTTGAAAGGATTAGAAGAATTAGGAGATGTGGTTTTGTTGGAGTGGAGGTAGCCTTGTTGAAGTGTGTTACTGGAGGTGAGCTTCGAAGTTTCATAAGCCCACACCAGACCCACACCAGACCCACCCCCTCTGCCTGCAGATCAAGATGTAAAGCTCTCAGCTGCTGCTCCAGCACCTGCCTACATGCCCCAAAACTCCCCACCATGATGACAGTCGACTAGACCTCTGAAAGTGTAAGCAAGCCCCCACCCCCACCTCATTAAATGCTTCCTTTTAAGCGTTCCCTTGGCCATGGTGTCTCTTCACAGCAATAGAACAGTGACTAGGGCAATGCTCAAGGCAGCCTGTAAAAGGAAGCATTTAATGGGGGCTTACTGATAGTTTCAGAGGATGAGTCCATGACTACCACAGTGGGGAGTGTGGCAGCAGGAATGGAACTCGGGCAGAGGCTGAGAGCTTACATCATGATCCACAATCAATAGGCAGGAAACAGAGAGAGAGAGAGAGAGAGAGAGAGAGAGAGAGAGAGAGAGAGACAGAGAGAGAGAGAGAGAGAGAGACTGGGCCTGGCTTGGGCTTTTGAAACCTCAAAGCCCACCTCTAGAGACACGACTCCTCCAATAAGACCACACCTCCAGATCCTTTCCAAATAGTCCTGGTAACTGTGGACCAAGCATTCAAACATAAAGGCCTGTGGTGGCCATTCTCATTCAAACCACCACAGTTGGGCTTACCTCATGGGCCATTTGTGGGAGGTGAGACACTTAGTATCTTATAAGGTAGTAAATCTCCTAACACTGTCTTTCTTGAGACTGGTTGTTTGGAGTGAGGTACCAAGAGTCATTAGGAGCTCAGCTTTGATGTTTGCCTAAGGCATTGGAAGTCACTGGGTCAGGCAGTCGTGGTTGTATTATTGGAGACTGAGGCAGTTTGCTTGTCATTTGTGTCCAGTTTGCCTCCAAAATATAGTTACTTAGGGGAAAAGTTTGGCATTTTACTAAGTGTTAACATGTAGTTACCATATGGTCCAGATTTCTGTGTATTTGTCCAAGACAAATAAAAACGCATCTTTAGAAAGTCTAGTATTGCAAGAACAGCAGCTTTATTCAAAGTTTTTCCACCTAGAAACAATTCAGATGTCTTTTAACCAGTGAACAAAGACATCTATGGGTGAATCTCAGATGCATCTTGCCAGATGAAGGGAGCCATACCAAAAATGGTTTATACAAACAGTATGATTGATTCTGATGATGTTCTGGAAAAGGCAAAATTTTAGGGGCAATAATTAAATGGCGGTCATTTAATTGGCATAGGCTTGGAGCATTAAGTTCAAAAAGAGAATCTGAGAGGAGAAGCTGTAGGGAGGGGAGTATTCAGTATCTACAAAATACAGAACAAGTCATCAGTCTGAATTTAAAGCAGGAAAAAGTGAAGCTTCTTCTGAGTTACTATATTGTATTACTGGGTTTTAAAAATAGACCAGTAAGCATTTCTTATTGTCTTGGATAGCATCCCCAGATGGATCTCTTTCTTCTTCAATGTTCAGTTGTAATGAATAGACCCATTTTTTTTACTTACATCATTTATCTTTAATATATTTAGTCCCTCTGTCTGTCAGGAAGAAACAAAACAAAACAAAACAAAACCTTCTGCATTGTTTTCATTTCATTTTAGCAGCAAATTCCAGAGTCTCTCTGGAAGCCTCCTGCCCTTTCTATTACTTTAACTTAATTGACTTTTTTCTTCTTCTTTCAAATCTCTTACTTTTCATCTTCCATTACCCTGCCTGGCTTCTTTAGCCCCACTGTCGTCTCCCTCTGTTGGAAGTTGTATAACTGACTGTTGAAAGCTAGTAGCTGAGGGAGGCAGAAGCCACATTGGAGGCAGGAGGAAGATGACTGTATGAATGAAATTTGATGATCTGTTTGTTTTTTGAGATGATTTGTGAAGGTGAATGTTAAGGACCCCCAAAGAAAAGGCTTATATTAACGGTTTATATTAACGGCTCTTGCAGTCCATATTAGCTTTGAGGGAAGGGGTTTTAGAAAAAACGTTTTTTCTTTTTTTTGGTCAGTGAATCTGTGTCTTTCACCCTGTTGCATCTGACTTACTAGTGGTGAACTCTAATTTCAGCTCACTAGGCAAGTCAGGTTCTACATGTTTGAAGTCCTGGCTTCTATCCCCAGTACCGCAGAAAAGAGAAAGAGACCTTATTTTTATTTCCTGTCTTAATCTTATATTCAGTTACATGGGTGATTGGAGGCCCTTTTTATATTATGGTAGATTTCTAACTTACAAATCAATATTCATAAGAAAAGCAAAGCAAAATAAATTGTCTTTACCGTGATTTATATTTTGGTGTGTACATTGTCAGCTACCTTTTTACTTACATGAATATAACTATAGAATATCCGGGTTATCTTTTAATGCATTAAAGTTTTAATTTGCCCATCTCTAAGCAGTTATCTATTTTACAGTTTTTGGTGGCTATATAATATGCTTGAAATTGTCAACATGTGTGTAATAGGCAACTTAACTTTTCTTTGAGGACATATATCACCGTTTTAAGTTAAATTTTTATTAATATATTATTTTATTAGCGTATACATTTTAGGTTTCATTATGACAATTTTCAAATGAAGTTTGCATTGTATCTGTATTGATTATCTTCCCTGCTTCTCCTCCCCACTCCATTTCCCTCTGCCAGGACCCCCAGGTCGCCTTCCCCTTCTCCTGCTGGAACTACTAGAACCTGCCGTTATGCTTTCATGTCACACATGTCCTTCTGCCCTCCCTCTCCCTCCCTTTCCAGTTTCCTCACTGTATGCCTCCTCTCCATGTTGGATATGTTACATTAGTGTCTTGTATAAACTTTCATTTATATGCATGGAGGAGTTGGAGAATAATCCCAATTTCATTCCTGTGACACTATTTTCTATTTCTGGTATTGGGTTTTTGTTATTTGATAGGAGGCATCGTTGATTTTGGAATATTTGCATCTGTGACTATATTGCTTTTCCTAGTCACAATGTTCTATACCTCCAGTTTGGTTTTTTTCTTTTTCTTGGTCGACATTGCCATAAACTGACCCATATATTAATTAACAATTAATTGTAAAGATAGTTGGGGACTATAATGAATTTGTGTTTTAAAATAGTCTCATTTGTGACTGATATTCAACTGATCTTTTAGTAGTTTTAACTTGTAAACCTAGCTTGTTGTAACTTTAAAATGTAAATAGACCTTCAGCTGCTGCTTCTCACCATTGCAGTCTTTCCTGGGTTTGCAATCCTTGTTTGAGTTCTTTCTTGAAAAAAAAAAAAGGTAAGGGTTTGTTGAATTTTTAAAAACCCACTTCCTGTAGACCTGCATTCAAAATTCAGTGGTAAACAAAGAGGGAAAATCCCTGCCCTTCCCTCATTTCCTCCTTTGAGTACTGAGTTATTGAAACCCAAATGTGCTCATGGGGCACGAAGCAGGCGTCATCTTTTGGTGACTCTAGTTTCTGCTTGCAGATATCGCTGTGGTGGAAATGAGTGATGCTTTCCGGCAGCCATCCTTATTTTACCATCTGGGAGTTCGAGAAAGCTTCAGTATGGCCAACAACATCATCCTCTACTGTGATACCAACTCCGACTCTCTTCAGTCTCTGAAGGTAACACCCTTGTTCACTCAGCGTTTGCCTTCAACACCAGCAGTGAGGGGAGCTTTTGTGTCGTCCAGAACATTTTAAGTAGCTTACATTTGTGAATTTATTTTTGTGAGTGGGGTCATTGGGCAGGGATTACTGGCAACCTTGTGAGGTCTATCTAATGATATATAAAAATGTGATCATATACTAGTGGAAATATTTGGTTGGTTTCTGAGTTACAGGTCAAGTTTCAGCCAGTAAGATTGTGTTACTAGGAAGCCACCAGTAGCAATTGTGGTGGCATGTGCCTGTAATCTCGGCTCCAAAGGTTTTGAAGCAGAGGGATCATGAGTTCTAGGTCAGCCTGGGCAGCATAGAAAGAGATCCTGTCTCAAAATGCCAGAAACAAAATAAGCATCTACAATAACAAAACTCACAAAACAGGAAGTCATCAGTCCATACCTTTGATAAAGATCATATGAGATATACCAAGCTTAGCCAGACCCTTGGAGACTTCACTGTGCCCGCCTGGCTCCAAATAAAAGTGTGCTTGGTACTTGAAAGTGCTTTTAATAGACCCTCTCACTCCATATCCCCCCAAAACGGCATAATTTCAACTAAGATGGGAGAAGACAACAGAAACTTCATTTATTCTTAAAATTCAATATATGTAGTATCATTTTCTACCAATTTAAAGGCATTTAATTCCAGTACTCATGAGGCACAGGCAGGTGGCTCTGTGTGAGCTGGAGGCCAGCCTGATCTATCTACATAGTGAGTTCCAGGTCAATCAGGACTACACAGTGAGAAACTGCCTCAAAAACAACAGAAAGAAACCTAATAAAGGGTACTTAACAAGCAAATGATTTTACACTGTGCGATTGTTTGAAAAGTGTGCTGTAAAAACCAGGTCTGCCGGCTCCGAGATCACTCATGTCCTTTGTGAAACTTGCAGCCAGCTTAATGAGGCCTTTTTCTCATTTCCATCTTCCAGTTTCCAAATCAGAGTCAACCTAGGCAGATGAAGCCATAGGATCCAGAATCTTGTGGCTTAGCAGATGTATCAAAGCCTCCAGCCAAAAATCCATGGGAAACTCCTAGTACCAACTTGCCTTTATCTACTCACTAAGACATAAACAATGTTGCTTCTTCTGAATGGCCTACAGAGTTTCATTAAGTAAACACATTTCACTGCTTGCCATACACTCATGTTCTGGACATGAGACATACAGCCTAGCACAGCACAGTCCTAAGACATTCATGCCTGTTTGGCTGAAGTCTGCTTTTCACTGGAAAGGATCTTTTGCTACATCTAATTTGTACATGTGTTTTTCTACTTTTGCTATGTTCGCAGTTGCTAAGAGTGGGATTGTTTCATTTATTCTTAGTCTTCATTTGTCTTGGGATGAACCTCTCTTGGGGTTTTGCATTGAGGTCTTTGGTCCATTGGAGTTGATTTTTGCTTAGTGTGATAGATTTGATTCCGATTTCATTCTTCCACCTGTGGACATGCATCCAGGTTTGTTTTTGGGTTTTGGTTTTTGGTTGTTTTTTTGTACTATTTGTTGAAGCTACTGTCTTTATTCTAGTGAGTTTTTGACAGCAAAAGGAGCTGCACTGAGCAAAAGCAACTGTTTAATTGGTCAATGGTGGCTCAAACCTTTAATCCCAGCACTTGGGAGGCAGAGGCAGGAGGATCTCTGTGAGTTCAAGGCCAGCCTGGTCTACGGAGCAAGTTCCAGGACAGCCAGGGTGGTTACACAGAGAAACCCTGCTTCAAATTTGGTATTTGACAAATACCAGATGACTATAATTATGTGTATGAAGGCCAGAGGACACCCTCAGGGAACTCACTACCTTAAAAAAAGAAAAGAAAAAGTGTCTGTCATTGGCTTACAGCTTGTCAAGCCATCTAGGCTTGCTGTCCAGCAAGCCCCAGTAATGGGCCTGTCTCCATCTTTTTTTTTTTCTTTTTTTTCTTTGAGTTACAAACACAATTGAATTTCATGACAATCCCAGTTCCCTTCTCCCTCCTCTCCTCCCCTACCACCCCCCAACTGAAACCCTACCTATCACATATCCTTTCTTCTAATCTATACCTGACTCAACCTTTCTGCTCCCGCATGACCTCTGCATCCTTCCTCTTCTTCCCTTCTCATTCTCGTAGCTCTCTCCCCCCTCTCCCCATGTTCTCAATTTGCTCAGGGGATCGTGTCCCTTTCCCTTTCTCCAGGGGACAAAGTTTGTCTTTTTTAGGGTCCTCCTTGTTTATTAGTTTCTCTGGCAGTGTGGATTGTAGGCTGAGATTACAATCATGTAGCATCACACCTGGCTTTTTTTTTTTTTTAATGTTGGTTCTAGGGCTTGAACTCTGGTTATCACAGCCCAGATTTCTTACGTAGTGTGTTTCTAGTTAGGTGACCCCAAAGAGACTAGTTTTAAAGAATGGAAATAGTAGAGAACAATTTCTGTAACCTCCCGACTTCCTAAGTCCTAAAAATTCCCGTGCTACTGAGAAAGCTGGTGCTGGTGCGGGGCCAGCTGCCACTCAGCATGATTGCTTTGTGTTGTAGTTAGCAATAAGTGTAGTTTGGCTGATCCTTCTGTCTCCCACCAGCAAATGGAGCTGCAGTGAGCAAAAGCAATTACTTAACTGGTCAGTGTTTGCTCAAACCTTTAATCCCAGCACTCGGGAGGCAGAGGCAGGCAGATCTCTGTGAATTCAAGGCCAGCCTGGTCTATAGGGCGAGTGCCAGGACAGCCAGGGTGGTTACACAGAGAAACCCTGCTTCAAAAAACCAAACAAACAAACAAAACAAGTATTTAAAATTATGTTATCATGGAAGAGGCCAATAAAACAAATGAAGCCTCCCCCTCTTTTCACAGGGTAGATAGGGTTAGAGAACAGTTCCCATTCACTCTTCACTTTACTTACATATGTGCCTGGGGCACCAAGGAAAATGTAGCTGGGCCTGCTTCGTTTTAATTTGCTCCTCTGTGTTGGAGGCAGCAACTCCTTCCTTCCTTCCTTCTGTCCTCCCTTCCTTCCTTCTGTCCTTCTGTCCTTCCTTCCTTCCTTCCTTCCTTTCTTCCTTCCTTCTGTCATTCCTTCCTTCCTTCCTTCCTTCCTTCTGTCCTTCCTTCCTTCCTTCCTTCCTTCCTTCCTTCCTTCTGTCCTTCCTTCCTTCCTTCCTTCCTTCCTTCCTTCCTTCTGTCCTTCCTTCCTTCCTTCCTTCCTTCCTTCCTTCCTTCTGTCCTTCCTTCTGTCCTCCCTTCCTTCCTTCTGTCCTCCCTTCCTTCCTTCCCCCCTGCCTCCCTCCCTCCTTCCTTCATTTCTTTTTAAACTTTCACTGTATTTATTCTTGTGTCTTTCACATCACACATCTCCATCTCATTTATCTCCCCATCCCTTCGTATCCACCCTCGACCCTTGCATTTACCCCCCCCCCCCCCCAAAAAAAAAAAAAAAAATTTAAAAAAAAAAAAAAAAAAAAAAAAAAAAAAAAAAAATCTCATCATGGAAGCTATAGTGTGACACAATGAGTCACACAGTGTATCCTTTTGTTCATATATCTTTACTTGCAAGTGTTCTTTGCAAAGTCATTGGTCTGGTTCAGGGCCTCTGGTTTCTGCTAAACCATCAATACTGAGCCCTTACATGGACTCCTCTTGGATATTTTGTTGTTGCCCTGTGTTATGGAGGACTGGTCCCTTCATATACTCCGGCAGATCACAGATGGAGTGGAAGTTGGGGTGGGCCAACTCATACCCCTGGTTCTGGGCCTGGGGAGTTGCAGGGTTGGCCAGCCCACCAGCTCTCCCCAATTCTCACCACCAGGGTGAGCTCTCCGGCATTGCCCTGGCTAGTTCACCCTATTCATCTATGAGCATGGAGTTGGTTCTCCTGCTTTCATGGCCTTAGGGTCGGCTCACCCACACCCTGACCACCAGGGCCAGCTTTACTGTGCTGCTCAGGCGAGTTGCAGGGCACACTTTCCCGAGTGCTGCAGCTGGTAAGGGGGAGGGTCAGCTCCCTCGACTGCGGCAGGTGGCAGGGGCAAGGAAGGGAGGGCATCTTCCCTTTGCCGTCACCACCACATGACAGACAAAGGGGATGTGGCCAGCTTTTCCACTGTCACACCCTCAGGACTGGCTCACCCACTTCCCTGCCAATAAGGTCAGCTCTAATATGCTGGTAGCAGTTTCTATTTGCCAGAAAATTCTCAAAAAGAAATCATAGAAAAAAAATCTTTAAAATGTAGGCTCCTTGAAAAACTAATTAAAATTCTTTAAAATCTATGACTGAATTGCTCAAAAGGACATTTAGTATCTAACCATGTCATGTATTTGTGGTAATATTTATAGTTACTTCTTTATATTTTTATTGAAAATAATTTTTCCATAAAGTATATCCTGATCATAGTTTCCCCTTCCCTAACTCATTCTAGCTCCTCCCAGCTCCTCCACACCTCCCCACCCACTCAACTCCATGCCTTTTCTTTCTGTCTTTCTTTAGAAAACAATCAGGCAAACAAACCAAACTAGAAACACACACACACACACACACACACACACACACACACACACACACACACACACACCACTCTCTCTATATCTGCAGAGAGACAGACAGACAGACAGACAGACAGACAGAGACAGACAAAGAGAACAAGAACAAGCATGAAAAATACAAACCCATAAAAGCACATAACCAGACACTATAATGTATAAACAAAAGTCCAGTGAGCCCCCCCAAAAAAGCCATATGAGACCGAAAGTCTACAAAAATACCATTGAGTTCATTTTGTGCTGACTATCTAGTGATAGGTATGGGGCCTATCATGGGAAATAAAGTATCTTGAAAAAATGTTCTCACGTTGAGAAAGGGAAGTTGACTCCTTCTTTGGGATTGCAACATTTTCAGTTTTCTTTAAATATCATGAGAACTTCAAGGTACCTGCTAGGACTTATGGATAAGATACTCTGCTAAGATTTATGTTTCCGTGAAAATATAGAACACTAAT